TTTAAATGTTTGTTTAGGCAACTAAATTTTTCAAACGTGTTCTGATTGTCTGCTTGCTTATAAATCTATTGGAATGTATCGAAAGTATGTAGATGCAATGGCACCGACTGTGAACATTCACCAACTGTGAACATTTCTTGTAATCTCTTTGCTCAATGTTCGGATACAACCCGTTGCACAAGTAATGCCCATTAAATCTCATTAGTCTAAACTGGCAACACTCTGAAATAACAACAATGGCAACACCTTCTGTTTAAGGAGAAGTTACCACGTCCGGAAACGGCTCTGTGCCGTTTCGTCCCTTCCCAATTCATCTTCAGCTCGAAATAATGCTGATTCATCTGCTGTCTTTTTCCACAGACTTCCTCTTTCCCGTTTCATCCGTTCCTCAGAAAGTAATCTTCTGATACAATGAAAACCTGCTTTCGTCTATTAGAAGATTTAATCAAGATGGCCATTACTGCTTTAACCTGACTTAACTCTCGATTTCTAATATTTATTAGCCCAAAGGGGCGTCGGGCATTAGCCCAGAAGGGCTATTAATATCGAAACCGCATTGTCAATTTATACTTTACAGTACGGCAGTAGTATAAACTTGACAATTTATTCTTTAAAATGTACTATACGTATTTATTTATTTAATTTCAGGGAGTTTTACTTTGCCTCACATATATCAACAACTTGATATTCTGTTTCCGTCCATGAACGCTGGTAGCAAAAAATAGTATACAATAGGTTTCCAGGTGGCTGTATCCCATAAAATCAGTCGAAAACTGCATCAAATAGTAATAAAAAATTTTAATTCTGTGTACAACATGACACGCACTACGCTTTTTTTTTTTTTTTTTTTTTTTTGTTCTTGTTGCCCGCTTGTTATCTTCATACGAATTGGTCGGTCAAGGGCGTCAGCGTTATTACTAGTGGATAAAGCTTCTGCGCATCTCAAGGTTATCTCGCTTCCATGAAAAGTTGGACACTTTTTAATTCTTTCGTCATATAAAACATAAAGATTGATTTACGATAATGCACAGTTTATCATGATTTAATATCCGATCCATATTTTTTTCTTCACTTTAAATTTAAGTCAAGATAAAAAGCTATTACTTCGAAAAATCATTTAGGAAGCCTAAGCACATTTGTTAAAGTCAGAAAACAATAGTATCCAATATTTGCAAAAATATACAGAGCTTAAAAAAGTGCATCGTGAAATATTAGGTATAGGAAGTTGCTTTACAGGTAGCATTAAAAAAATACAATGAATTAAAACCTCTCTTGGGCGTCCATCACCCGTAAACCTCTGAAATTGACCAGTATATTAGAGAACATGAATAAATATTGGTATTGATAATTATAATATTAAGAAAAACCACTCGGCAGTTCGACTAAGACTTCAAATACGTATGGTTATTTGAGATTAAGTCGACTACCAAAATATTTAATTTTGATACCAAATTTAAATATTTTACATATTAAATAAATCTACGAGATTTTAAATACTCACTTTTACATCGGAAATAGGTGTTAAATTATTGATAAACCATTCATTTTATATTTTTTTCAGCTTGGCGTAATGGAGGATCAAATAACATAATCTGGGGCTCTAAACACGATGTTTTTTTAGGAGCACTGTAATGTTGATTTTTAATTTCGTGAGAAACGGGGTTATTAGGAGTTATAGTATAATTCGCGGTCGGCTAGAACATGAAGCCCTATGTCTGGAATTTGTAAGCTTAGGCAATAATTAGATCCCGGACATAAATTTTCGTATAAGCATCTGTCCGATGTTTGTGACCTTTATAAATGATTATCATAGTCATACACATTTTTGTCTAATTTTTTTATTGCCTGTTTCGGTGACGTTATAACACTAAAGATATTCCATTCAATTAAGTTTCACGACCTTCTGACATCATTTATGCGCAATTAAAATATCAAATAAAACGTTCCGTTTCACTGTATCAAATATGATACCGTGGGCCGCCAATGATACTTCACTCCCGTATCACATTTGATACGATAGGCCCACGGACAGAAACTGTAGTGTGTCAGAAATAATACGCTAGAAGCGAAGAGTTAATTGTTTCCATTGAATTTGTCCAGCGCTGTAGAATTCAGCTTTAAACCAAAAGTGGAATGAAAAAAACACCAAAAAAACGATCAAATACGAATGAAAAAACACTAAAAAACCACCAAAAGTCGAAGGAAAAAAGCACCAAAAAAGACAAAAAATAAATGAAAAAACACTAAAAAATGACGAAAAATCGAATGAAGAAAACACCAAAAAACGAATGAAAAAACATCAAGAACGATCAAAATCGAATGAAAAACACTAAAAAAAAGACCAAAAAATCGAATGAGAAAACACCAAAAAACGAATGAAAAAACATCAAAAAGCGATCAAAATCGAATGAAAAACACTAAAAAACGACTAAAAAATCGGATAAAAAACACATAAAAATGGCCAAAAACGAATGAAAAAACACAAAAATTCGAATGAAAAAACACCAAAAAACGATCAAAAAGGAATGAAAAAACACTAAAAAACCACCAAAAGTAGAATGGAAAAACACCAAAAAAGGATCAAAAACGAATGAAAAAACACTAAAAAACCACCAAAAGTCGAATGAAAAAAATACCAAAAAATGAATGAAAAAACACTAAAAAACGACCAAAAAACGATCAAAATCGAATGAAAAATACACCGAAAATGAACAAAAATCGAATGAAAAAACACAAAAATTCAAATGAAAAACGAATGAAAAAACACCAAAAAACGATCAAAAACGAATGAAAAAACCACCAAAAGTGGAATGAAAAAAACACAAAAATTCGAATGAAAAAAACACCAAAAAACGATCAAAAAACGAATGAAAAAACACTAAAAAAACCACCAAAAGTCGAATGAAAAAAACACCAAAAAACGACAAAAAATGAATGAAAAAACACTAAAAAATTACCCAAAACGACCAAAAATCGAATGAAGAAAACACCAAAAAACGAATGAAAAACATCAAAAAACGATCAAAGTTCATTAATCATTAATGAAAGCTTGCTGGCATCAGTTCTGGGCAGAAGTTATGAAGAATTTCAAAGGATTTCCATCGACTGAAATTGAAGCCAAAGAAATCGTACAAACAGCAAAAGCAACTGGCGGCGAAGGATTTTCAAGTATGGAAGATTTGTGTGTATTGTGTGTGTATTTAATTATGGCAAAGCACACTAGGGCTATCTGCCTAAGGGGAGGGATGCCTTTCGTAGAGGACTTTCTAAGGGAAACTGGCTCGTATACACGTTACACATGGGGGAAACCACGATAACGCCCATGCAGCCAGCCCGTTCGCGGGATTCAAGTATGGAAGAAGTCAAATAATTACTCGAGGAATAAATATCGAACGAAAAACTAGCTGATCTTATTTACAGTGAAAATATTTGATACTGATTATTGACAGTGTAAAAAATTCAGATAAAGCGCCTTTAACTTATTTAACGAATTGTTAGAAAAAGTCACAGGAACCGTCACTTTGCATTGGATTGACTTTGGTGTTAATTTTATGAAGAAGAAGAAATTTTATAATAGGCATAAAACAACTCAACGCTTCTCACGGGGAAACTTTTCCATAGTTAAAAGCAAAAATCACCAGCATTAAAATAATAATAATAATAATAATAATAATAACTGTATTACGTACCTATTAGCAGTTATAAAATCCTTTTAATTAACAGTAGTTTCGTTTTTTTTCTTTTAATTACAACGATATTCAGTTTGTTCAAATTATACCTACTTTATTATTCTAGATTATACCTAACATAATTTTTCCATAAAAAGTTAACTTTCCGGAATGCGATTTTGCCGTACGCGCAATCATCAAACGCTATCAAGTGTCATATTAAAAACTGAAATATTTAATTTTAAAGATCATGTTCAGGAGTTATATACAAATTAAATAACGAAGTGTTTGTATTTAAAAATGAAATCTTAGTTTAGAAAAGGTTTCCAGAATTAACAGATTAAGTTGTTACATCTGTTGTAGGTTTCAAATAGCTTAGCTAGGTCAGTACAATTCTAACAAGCAGTTATATATTTTCTGAGAGATGGGATTTCACCACCAAAATATCTAACCATCAAATATACAAAGAATTAAAATATTTTAAGTTTATTCTATATCACCAATTGTGAATGATTAAATTTAAATATTCAAACCATAAAATTAGAATCCAACCTGGACCCGGTTTCAACAGAATTTATTTTTTCACAATTTCTATCAGTTCAACGATTTTAATTTAACATGGTCAGAGACAAAGCTTTACCTAGACCACGACCGAAATCCAAACACATAATTTACCAAAACAAGGATCTAACCTCAATCTACAACTACTCACAGCAAGATTAAGGGCCACGGCAGCGGGCCGTAGACTAAACTCTCACTCTCTTATTCGTAGATCTCTAAGGTTTGCATTAAAATTGTTTGCTTTTCAAATCTACATAAATGCCGGAATAAACGAAGCTCGTAACGATGAGAGACAAAACGGAAAGAAAAAAGTTAAAAACCATTTTGTTAGTAAAACTTGAACATAGTGATCAGCATTCCTATGTAGACTATAAAGAGATCTGCACGCTAGTAAGTCGCAAAATAATATCACTAAATGATAAAGAGAAAAACTTAATCAGAAATTATTCTAATTTATTTCTTAAATAACCGCTTAAATAAAAGCCTACATTATGGCAAAAATCGAATGAAAAACACTAAATATAATGAAATGATATTCACTAAATATAACTTTCTAGTGACATAGCGATTTTTACAAATTGATTTTTTTTAATTTTAAAAGGCCACAATTATAAAACATAATTATAAAACGCTTCATTTAAAGCGATTTTATAATTGTAAATATGTCTATCTGCGGCATATTAACATTAAAGTCTACATAAGGACTTTTATGGACACAATGTATATAAGCTTATACTATGATAATTTACAAAGTAACATAAGAAGGCTTACCTGCTGTTATCTGTTTCAAATATACTTAGGCATAACAGTCTTTATAGAAACCTCCAGTCAAGTAGCATTTTATTTCTTACAGTTAATACCCTGGATAATAATAATGCCAACAAAGAGAAAAAAATCCATATTAATCATATTAAATTAATCAACAATTTTTAGTTATATTAAAGTAATGAAAACAAAATAAGATTAGTTTACATGATTTAACTTATTTTAAAAAAAATAGGGACTTGTTCTAAATAACACCAATAGTTTAAAAAAATCTTCAAATTCATAAATAAAATATTCATAAAATATTCATGAATAACATTATTTAGTCATCCATAAAATACTAATATTTATAAAGCAAAACATAAACAGTAAATAAGAAATATGGCTTATAAAACAGTGCTTCTACTAGTAAACAAATGAAGAAGTTCAACATTAAAATTAGCCTGAATCAGCAGAAAATGGAGAAATAAAATATTGCTGACTGCAACTTCGTTGGAGTTCAGCTTTTATCGAAGCGTTGTTATTATGATGACTGCAGCGAAGTTGTATTGCCTCAGGTTGAAGCTATATTGCTTAGTCCACCAAGAGTCAAATTAGTCGAAAGAACATACGTTGTACTCGGAACCCGCTTTTTTAGTGCCTCTGACAGACACGGAGCTGAAACTAAATTACTAAGATGATTGCTATGCATGACATTTCGCGATTGTTATACGTGAAAACTGTATTTCTTAGAAGCTTGGAAAAATTTTCCTTGCACAAGAACCTCGTTAATGACTTAACTTAGACTCTGTTCCAGTCGGAGGAGTGGAGAAACTCTTTCGATCCCTGCCTATCGTCTTTTAAAGAATCCGACTTCCGCATTGGACTTCTTCTTCTCCAACTTTTGCTTGTACTGCATTCACAGTAACAGCAATTATTTGACAAATATGGAATGAGCTCCAACAAAACAGCAGTCATCAATAACTTTTTAATATTTTGCTTATTTATACTAATTTTTATTTTGAACGTCATCATATGTTTGCTAATTGCACAATGATATTTTCTTCAAGAGTGATTCTACTTTTCATAGTGTGCTATATACATACGAACACATCAGTTTGTATACACAGAAGACAGTTAAAAATGTAGTATTTTAAGCACGAAATTTTAAAATCACTTTATCAATGCTTCATTAACCAAATTATTTATAAGTCTAACATGAATTTGAATTATTAATGTGAAACAATTTACTGTTGAATTAAAAATTCAGTATTAAATACACCAACGATATTGTTGCATTCTTACGAGTTCGTGGATTTGGAGTGATTGATGACAACACTTGATATAGAAACAAAACACAATTAATTCGTCAGTATTACACCGGACAGTTCCAAAGATGCGTTACAGTCGTCGTAAAACTACGGCAAACACGTTGAAGCAATCTGCAACACAGCCTTCAGGCTATCAGTATAACGGTGAAGACAACTTCACGGCAGGGCTCTAAAGTACAGCTCCCGAATCGGTCGATCGCTCTTGGAGCTCAACACACTCAAGATATTCTTCACCATAAAACTCTCGATGTACTCGACGATAGACTCAACGAGGCACTGCTACTCCGCGTGCAAGCAGGGTTTATATAGCTTTTAAACTGTTTTCGAGAATATTACCAGTAAGGTTTCGTTCTAGAATATTCTTGCTCTGTCTATGGCATATCGCCAGTTTTGTCGCTAAATGTCTCCAAATGGGAGATTTCGTGCCAAATCTGACAACCATACCTTTCCTTACCATTTTCTGGCAACCCTAAACCCGCTTTGCGGGGAAGCTATCTTACCGCGGCTGGACATTTCGTAACAATATTATTTTGGTTTCAGAAAGAAATATATCTGCAAGAAGTGAATTTTGAGCAGGCCACATAAATTATTAGAGCAATATTAAAAGTCTGCATTATTGGTGACAGAGATATTTCTTTGGAATCGCTACCAAGAAACTGTCTACACTTAAGAAATTATACATTCTTCTTAAAAGAAAAAAAAAAAAAAAAACTGTGTTATTATCCTAAAAAGGATATTCAAACTAGAGAAACTGTAACGTAAAAAAAATCCACCTCTGCTGCTGTGTTAAGGGCCGAAGCCTAACTTAGAATAACATTAAAAGTTTGCATTATTTATTTCGCCAAGAACGTTTCATTAGAATCGCTGGTGACAACAGCAAACAAATTATTGTGCTTATTATAAAAACTATCCAAAACTTGGAGAAATTACTTATTCTTTTAAAAAAGGAAAAAAGATCTTTTTTATTATCCTGGAAAGGATTCAAATTTGAGAAAATATAATTGCAAATTATGAGCTAAGTGGGACCATAAACTTGCAAAAGTTGGACTTTGCACTCATATGATCTCATATGATTGAGATCATATGAGTGCAAAGTCCAACTTTTGCAAGTTTATGGTCCCACTTATAATTTAGAATGACATTAAAGACCTGTATTATTTACCCCGCCAAAGATTTTCGTCGGAATTTACAGAAACTATCCTTATTCTATTTTTGAAAGACAAAACGTAAAAAGGAAAGAAAAAGAATCCGAACTTCAGTTATTTATAGCTGTGAAAGCAGAAATTTGTAAATTTCAGCATCCAAAGCGAGAAAATGGATATAACTGAATAGGGTCTACAAAATGCGAAAACGTGCGTGCAATGAAAAACAACAGCCAAATAACTTTTTGCCAACGATATTCTCATTAACACTCAAAGTATTGTTAAAGACTAGAATTGATAATAAGAGTAGAATTAAATGAATCTATATTTTTTGTGAAAAACTTCCCATACTTGCTGCTCCCTGTCTTTTATTGTTATTATTTCTTTTCTGTGTCGTAAGAATGTTCCATGACAGAAAGTCTCTGGAAGATAAAAGAGTTGGACAATGTTGCTATTAATAAGTTTTGTGTTTATATTTTCCACCTAAACGCTTTGGTCCCAAAGAATCCGAGAGCGAGTTGTTCGCCGAGGCTGGGGTGTGGCGTCGGGCTGTCTGCCGAGTGTATTCATCAAGCGGGGCTCCTTTGGGGGCTTGTCTGGCAAGCAGCTGATCTTGTTTGTCAGGAATGCATCGATCCCCAACACGGGGTTGGGTCTAAATGATGTTTAGAGAGGGTGTGCAACAAGCAGCAGTCTGTGACCCTGCATTCCCTTGAGAGATTGGGGAACCTAGAAGAAGGGGGGATATATGGGGGATAGTTGACGAAGTGTTATGATTTGACTCCCCAACCCCGTGTTGCTCCATCAAATTCCAGGTCGAGTCCCTCTTCTCTAAGCATTGGTTTTATCGATCGTGTTGGGATGTGGGAGGGAAAGTTTCTGGAGTTCAGAGTAATTTAGTACAGGGGTTGGATTGCACCACAGTATCTCCTACTCTATAAAAGTTATTTATTAGCACATTGTCAGAGTCTTATTGACTTCATAGTTTCGGGTAAAAGAGTGAGTAAGCGCTGACCGCTGCTGTATCCTTTTAGTACTAGATTCATATATCTTAAATTGTCTTTTATCACTTTCAGAACTATTGGAAATATAAAATTAAGAGTACTAAAATATTGTTAATGTGATCGCCAATAATAAAACACGTTCAGTGATTTGAAACATTTGCATTGGAGTTTGGATTTTTTATCAATTACAAGAAGACTCAGAATTCTAATTTTAAACTTTATAAAGGTATGCAATCATTGAAAAACTGAGATAAGTCTAAGAAGTCTGTAAATATTTATAATAATGAATGAATATTTATTTACTTATACCTCTTAACTGTTAACAGTAAATTTCATAGTATCATTTACAACTACGAAGCAGATGGATCTAGAACAAAAAATTCGAAATATAAAGCGAATTTTAGTACATTTAATACGTCTATTATAACATGAAATTCTGTACAAGAAACACTATAGAATTTAAAGTTGCCCTGTTATTTGAATATAGTGTAATTTATATCCTCCCGTATACTTTAACGTTACATTTTTTTTACAACTAAATGAAAAGAAAATTTTCTTTACAATGAATACACGATGTTAGAAACTGGTATTAAACTAGACATTTTGATACCGGATATGGACTCCCATCATTCGCTACAATGCAAACTCTCAGTGGAATTATATGTTCTTTTGACTACTGCTACCGCAACTTCACAAACGATTTTGATTCATCTGATACGGTTATTAGCAAGAAAACCCACCCCCTTAGTGAAGAGTAATATGGTAACTCAATAAATCTCATCTCTTCCGCATGCGCACCCACATTCTTCCAGTATCTGAATTCGAAAGGAAGAAACGATGACGCAAAACCAATTTGACTAATCCAAATCTAGTAACCAGTTATCGTTAATTATTTTAGTTTGGGCGTCAGATGTGGACGCACTGTGATGTAAGAATCAACAGCCCCTCTGCAAGCACAGTATCGACATGGCACTCAACAGATGGTTTCGATCCTGTGCAGCCATCCTAAAAAGTTAATGAGTCAATCAAATTCTTTCTCTGTTAATTATGCATCATTTCTAGTTATAATCCTTGACTACGTAAACGCTGTATCATCATATACAATGTCGATTCTATGCTGCATTGATTCTACGACGTATCGAAGCTATGCCAGTGTCGATTTGCCTGTGACAGATATGTGAAGGACACAAATGTCATTTATCCCTTTACTTACTATTGCAACCATTATCATTTTATTATCTATAATTCTTTTTCATCACGCCAGTAACTAGTGTCGGTTGCATGATCGCGTCGATCTTGTGCCAGAGTCGATTCTACGTCGTATCTATGAATCTATACTACGTCGTGTCGATCCTAAGTAGTCTTCGTTCTATGTGTCGATCTTATGCATGTAAACTGAGGCATTAAAAGCTTGTCAGCTAAAAATAGTTTAAAATAAACGCAACTTTCACCCGAAATCGAAAGATGATACCAAGCGGCATGATGTATTAACAGTTGTAACACAAGTGTACGTGGAGGATAGCTTTAATTTCTTTTAGACAAACCAGAATTCTTCCATAGTTCAATATATCTATGAGCTAGGAAATGTTCCCTCAGACACAGTGCAACATTAGAAACTGGTCTTCGAAATCACAGAAAATGAGGCATAGATAACTGCAGGTACTAATTTCTACTAAGCACTGCAGAATAAAATAGAGTAACAACATCAAAGATTTTCCAAGTATGTCTTAAGAATTTTCTGGATGCAAGGAATGCTCGAGCGGATTTCAGGCGACAATCGGAAAATACGCGTGGAAACAGCCGTTATAAGTTAACGACCATTTAATTATCTAAATAATAGTATGTAATAATAATAATAATAATATTAATAATTAGTCCGTTTAGATAATCCGTTTAATTATATAAATAGTAGCATCAACACATCTGAAATCAGATTGTTAATCAGACTCAGTGAAAAATGTAATAGATTGTTCATTTATCACCTCTTCTCCCCCCCCCAAAAAAAAAGATTACATTCTGTAAAAAATAGAAAAGTGATGATAAGAGTTATTTGGTATTGGCAAC